TCAGCTCTTTCCTGGTTGACATGAAGCATCCTTGCAAGATGAAGTGATCTGGGGTGGTCTTAATCCCCCCCCTCCTAACCTCCCACCACCACCACCCCAGCCCCGCCCCCCATGGCAGATGCCAAGCCAAGCGGGCAGCCAGGAGCAGACACAGCAGGGAGCCCCCCACCCCCCACCGGAAGCCCCCACCATCACCCCTCCCTGCCTGGACAAGACTGCAGGGGAAAAGGGAATCAAGACCCCCCACCCCCCCCTTGGGGGCTAACGCTGGGTTACGGGACAGGACAGGGGGCACAACGTTTAGTGATCAAATTTACCTAGCGGCCCATCTCACAAGAGACTCCGGGTGGCAAAAGACAGGGAGGAGACCCCCAGCCCTCCACAGGGACCCCTCCTCAATTTAAAACATTGGATTATCAGCTGTGTTACACTCCTCCCTCCCTTCCTCCATTCTTCTTTTCCTCCTTCCATCTAGCCATTCTTCCGCCTTTTCTCTTTTCTCCACTTCTCGTTCTTTCCTTCCTTCCTCTGTTTCTTGTTCTCCTTTCCATTCATCCTCCTTCCTTCCCTTCCTTTTTCTTTCTTTCCTCTGTTCTTTTCTCCATCTCTCATTCCTTCCTTCCTCTCCCTTCTTTTCCTTCCATCCATCCGTCCCTCATTTTTCCTTTCTTCTTTTCTCCATCTCTCTCTGCTTCCTTCCTCTTCTTTTCCTCCTTCCTTCTTCCTCTTTTCCTTTCTTTCCTTCTTTTCCTTCCATCCATCCACATCCTTCCTTTCCCCCCTCCCTCTTTCCTTTTCCTCATTTTCTCCTTCCATCCATCTTTCCTTCCTCTTTCCCTTTCTTCCGTTCCTTCTCTTTCTATTCCTCCCTTTCTTTTTCCTTCCTTTCCCTTCCCTTCCTCCTCTTTCCTTCCCTTCCTCCTTTCCTTTCCTTCTCTTCAAAAACCAGCCTTCCTTCCTTCTTTTCCCCTCTCTCCCTCCCTCTTTTCCTTCCTTCCCTCCCTCCGTGGAGAGGCCTAGCCTTAAAGAGGAGGGGGTCCTTTCCTTTCCTCCTCTTCAAAAACCAGCCTTCCTTCCTTCTTTTTCCCTCCTCCCTCCCTCTTTTCCTTCCTTCCCTCCCTCCGCGGGGAGGCTTAGCTGTAAAGTGGTGGGGGTGTCCGCCTTACTTGTCTGTCTGGGGCGGCCATGTTCTTGCGCTCCTGGCCCCAGGGGTCTCCATGCAGGGGGTTCCATAATCCAGGCTTGGGCAGTTGATAATGGGGATTGCCGGGGGCTCCGTGACCGGACAGGTGCTGGCCCACCCCATTACCACCGTTCTGCTCCCCGGCAGGCATTTGCAGAAAGAGAGCAAGAGGAGAGGGGTCACAGCCTCTAAATCCCCGCCGCCTGTCCCCTGTCCCCCCCAACATCCTTCCCCATCAAGGGGCAAAGAGGTCCCGGCAAAAGACGGGGCTGACCTACATAGCAATTTCTCCCCCTTTTCTAGGCACCCCCTCCCAAGGAGAAGGCAAAAGCAGAGGATGAGAGGTCATGAAGCATGCGCAGAGTGCCGGGGGTGGGTGGGATGGAAGGGAGCAGTGGTGGGATTCAGATAATTCAACAACCGGTTCTCTGCCCCTCGTGATTTCTTCCAACAACCAGTTCACCAAACGGCTCTCAAGAAAGTTAACAACCAGGTCTCGCGAACCGGTGCGAACCGGCTGAATCCCACCACTGGAAGGAGGGCTGGGGGGGTGGGGGGGTGGGGGAGGGGCTTTGCTACCTGGTCGGGGCTGGTGCTCCTCCGCCTTTTCATGGGAGCCGGCATCTCTTCGCCGTGGCACGAGTGGGCTGGGTGCTGAACCGGCGGGATGGGCTGGACCACCGGGGGCTCCATCGGGGGGCCGGGCCTCTTGAGTTGGGGGTTGCGCTTAGCCGAGAAATTCCTTTTCTGGGGAAGCAGAGAGGGAAGGAGCGAGAGAAAGATTGGACCGGAAAGAATTCAGTTTTTTTTATTTTTTCCTATTAAAACCCAACTCACCAGGCCTTCCCGTGAAAAACAAGAGATTTTGGCCCCTTTAAGACTGGTGGACTTCAACTCCCAGAATCCCCCCAGCCAGCCATCTTGAGCAGAGAATTCTGGGAGTTGAAGTCCATGCCTCTTAAAAAGATTGCAAAATGCCTGTTCTAGGTCACGGGTCTCCAAACTTGGCGATTTTAAGACGCATGGACTTCAACTCCCAGAACTCCCCCAGCCAGTCCAACTTTAGCCATTTTAAGGTGTGTGGACTTCAACTCCCAGAATTCTCCAGACAGACATCTTGAGCAGGGAATTCTGGGAGTCAAAGTCCATACATCTTTTTTAGGAAGTTGAATTCTGGGAGTTGAAGTCCATGCAATTTAAAAGATACATAGATTGAAAATCACTGTTCTAGGACAGGAGTTCTTCCAACCTTGGCCGCTTGTGGACTTCAACTCCCAGAATCCCCCTCAGACAGCCATCTTGACTAGGGGATTCTGGGAGTCGAAGTCCATACATCTTAAAAAATACATAGATTGAAAAACTGTTCTAGGACAGGGGTTTCCAACCTTGGCCACTTTAAGACTTGTGGACTTCAATTCCCAGAATCCCCCAGCCAGCCATCTTGACTGGGGGATTCTGGGAGTTGAAGTTCATGAAATTTAAAAGATACATAGATTAAAAAACACTGTTCTAGGACAGGGGTTTCCAACCTTGGCCGCTTGTGGACTTCAACTCCCAGAATCCCCTAGCCTGCCATCTTGACTGGGGAATTCTGAGAGTTGAAGTTCTTACAATTTAAAAGATACATGGATTAAAAAACGCTGTTCTAGGACAGAGGTCTCCAACCTTGGCCACTTATGGACTTCAACTCCCAGAATCCCCCAGTCAGCCTGGGGGAATGAGGTGATAAAAGGCGTCCAAGTTTCCCTCCTGTTTCAAGACCAAAAGATGTCCATAAAACTCATCCAGACCCAAGTAGTCCTTGACTAAAAACTGTTCGCTTAGTGACGGTTTGAAGTTACAACATCACTGAAAACAGTGACTTAGGATGGTTTTTCACACTTACGACTGCTGCAGCGACTGTTGCAGCAGTGGACGCTTGTAGCAACTGACTCAAGTTATGACGATGGCCGTTTCCCTGGGGTCACGTGATTCCCCTTTTGCGACCTTCTGGCCGGCAAAATCAATGGGGAAGCCAGTGTGTCTCAGTTAACAACTGCAGTGATTCGCTTAACGACAGTAGTAAGAAAGGTCATAAAATGAGGCAAATCTCACTGTTAAAAAAAAACGTCTCATTTAGCAAGGGAAATTTTGGGCTCCCTTGCGGTCGTCAGTCGAGCTCCACCCGCACCCCAGATTAAAAGGGAACCATTTTTGCAATTCCTTTATATATATTTTTAGCAATGACTTGAAGGAAGCATTTTTTTTTTTTTTGAAAGGATGATTTTAAAAAATAGCGTTTTTTTAAGAAGGAAGAAGAAAAAGAACAAGGAAGAGCGGGAGGGGGGGGGGGGGGGGGGGGACACAACAACCAGGACGAGGTCAACCAGAAATAATCCAGAGCAGGGGGTTGGACTAGAAGACCTCAAAGGCCCCTTCCAGCTCTATTCTGATTGATTGACAAGGTTGCATTTCCTGTCACCACCCACCCCCACCCCAATTCTTTGGTGTTTTTGTGCTGCCCACTGTAACTTTTAACTCATTAAAACATTGGAAAAAGGAGCATTTATGGAAACTCTGGGCGTGCGGAAGTGAGGACCAGTTCAGAGTAACAGAGGTGGAAGGGACATCTAGTCTAACCCCCTGCTCAGGCAGGAGACACCCCCCGCCCCCCGGGGTGAATAATACGGGGCAGAGGCGTCTTACCTCAAGATGTAACAGGTTCCAGACTTGTTGTAAAGGGGGTAAAACTTTGTGCCGGTGATGAGATGACCCCCCTGCATGGAAATTCCACAGCTGAGCCTGAAAAAGGGGGGTGGGGGGAAGGTGGGAGGAAGAAGAGAAGGAAGCTATGTTTAAAAAAGGGGGAAAAAGTTAAAAGCTTTTCTTCGAGGACGTTTGGGAAACCTGTTTTCCTCGGGAAGACTCGCAATATCTCCTGGTGGTCTCCCATCCAAACGAACCGACCAGGCCAGACTGTTCTTAGCTTGGCTTTTTAAACTGGGGAAGGCTGATGAAGGAAAGATTGAGTTGCCCAATAATATTGGGGGCAGTTTGGCGTAGCTGTTAACACACCAGGTAGGAAACCAGGAGACTGGGAGTTCTAGTCCTGCCTTAGGCAAGAAAGCCGACTGGGTGACTTTGGACCAATCACCAGGAGACTGGGAGTTCTAGTCC